CAGTCACCCCCCCCACCGCCACGCGGGGTTGGGATGGGGCGTATTTCGGCGGGTGGAGGGTCTCTCCTCCCTGCAGACAGGACTGTGCGTTCGTAGCTCTCTCTCAGAAGCGCGGTGCTCTGGCTCCTCCAGGGGCATCACCCCCGTTTGCTTTTCCTTTAGGAAGTATTACTCAAGAGGGCGGCTGATCTGGTGGAAGCCTTGTATGGGATGCCCCACAACAACCAGGTAGGCGGCCAGCAGCTGGACGGGCCCACCCCTTCCTGGGCGACCGTGTCCTCCGAGGACCACCCAGCCCCGGGCCCACCGCGGGCTTTTGGGGCACACAGGTGCCTGTTCCTAAGTACTCACCGCGAGCTCGAGAGGAGAAAGCCTTCCTCGTCTTGCTTTTGTCCTCGCACGAAGTACTCAAGTAGGAGATGACGAGACAGGGTCAGGAAGCAAAAGTGGGATTTCAAGTCATGGGACGGGGAACCACCTGGAAATCTGGCTGGTGGATTCGGTGGTAGTTTGGCGTGGCCCGGTGTGGGAGGGAAGGACGGGCGCCCACAGCCCATCCTCATGCTGCCTAGAGGGCTCTGGGGGGCAGACTCAAGGGCACTCTAGATTCGGGCCTGCTTCTGTGACTCTGGGTGTGGTGCGTTCCCCGCTTCTGTGCACCTTTCTGGGGCCTATGGGCTGTACGCGCAGAAGCGCCATCACACTGTCTTCCCAAGGGAGGCTCTTCCAGCTACAAAATCAGTTTGTTACCGTCTGGGACCAAGGGGTGGGGGACGCCTCCCCGTCATTTGGCCTCATGGGACAGGGTGGAGGGGGGCCTGTGCTCCCCAGGGGGACGTGGGAGCTGGAGGCAGACTGGGCGCTTCCCCTCCCGCCCAGGAGATCATCCTGAAGCGAGCAGCTGACATTGCCGAGGCGTTGTACAGCGTGCCCCGCAACCACAACCAGATCCCCACCCTGGGCAACACGCCTGCGCACACGGGCATGATGGGCGTGAACTCCTTCAGCAGCCAGCTAGCCGTCAACGTGTCGGAGACGTCACAAGCCAACGACCAAGGTAGGCCGCCATGCCGGGTGAACCCCCTTCCCTGGACACGCTCCCAGGGACAGTTGACACTCTGCGGCAGCTGCCCGTGTCCTGGGTCCAGCGGGGAAGCGGGCGGCGTTCCGTGCTCCTTGGCTCTCTCCGGGGAGGTCCTCCCAGCAGCCGTGCCTGGCGAGCGCAGGGCGGGGAGCACCCAGAAAACCCAGAACTCGTTTGTTGTCACGGCACGTGGCTGCCGCTCAGTATTCTGGTTTTTGCTAGAAGTTTCCTTGAAAGGTGGGAGGAGCCACAGGACAGCCGTGGGGCAGTAAGTGGACGGGACCCTTCATGGATATGTCCCAGGGTTGGGGCTTGGAAAGAGTAAATGGAGAGGAGCTCCCAGTGTCCCCCATCCGCCCCCCGCCACCACCGGTGCACTTTCTCCCAGTGTGCAGTGACCTGGCGTCTGGGGGTCACAGGACCCTCGTCCAGGGGTTACAGGACCCTGTCGTGTGAGCCAGTTCCGAGCAGGTCTTAGTCCTCCTCTCTCAAATCGGTGTGGACTCAGAGAAGGCCTCCGCCACGGCTCTGGGTCACGCACACTCCGCGCTGGGCCTGATGCCCCGCTCCCGGGCCCGCCCCGCACTCTGGGAAATGGTAACCGTGCAGACCGAGGCCCAGAACAGCCCTTCCTGGGGACTTACGGCCAGAAGCAAGCTCTCCCCGTCAGCCCTGGCATTTGAAGGTCTGCAGAGGCCGGGAGTTCAGCTAGCATGGGGGGAGCCCCTGAACCCGAGCTGTCGGGGATTGCTTCCAAAGAGACTCCCGCGAGCAGCTGCGGGTCAGAAGCGCGCGGGGCCGGCTGCCGGCGTGGGCAGGACGGGGCTCAGAGCCGTGCCCGAGCGGGGCCGGCGCGGCGAGGTGACCTGAGCTGGCTGCACGCGCCGGGGCTGGCGCACGGCGGAAGGTCGATTGAAAATGTTGCGTATGTGACAGAGGTTTGCGGGGAAGCACCCCCCCCCCCAGTGTCTGTCTCCCTGATAATAATGTTATTTTTGGCCGGGGGGGGGTTTTAACAGTCGGCTACAGTCGCAATACAAGCAGCGTGTCCCCGCGAGGCTACGTCCCCAGCAGCACCCCCCAGCAGTCCAATTACAACACAGTCAGCACTAGCATGAATGGATATGGAACTGGCGCCATGGCCAATCTAGGGGTCCCGGGCTCGCCTGGATTCCTTAATGGCTCCTCCGCTAACTCTCCCTACGGCAGTAAGTGTCTGTTTTTGTCACACGTCATCACATAGATCCATGTTCACTCCCGAGTCAAATGTGTGCATTGCTTGCTGTTCTGTGGTGTGAGCTGCTGGGCCAAAGGGAGGGTGGCTCCGGAGGCTGGGGGTCTGCGTGGCGACGGCAGGTGGCTCCGGAGGCTGGGGGTCTGCGTGGCGACGGCAGGTGGCTCCGGAGGCTGGGGGTC